GTCGTTTTGTGCATTATTTACAAAGCTTCTGTGTGGAGGCTACACACGTAGAGCCCTCCTTCACCACCACCACCACCCCCTTTCTCTTTGTCTCAGCAAGTCAACGTCAACACCCGAAATACTGCCTTGTCTTGTGACTGCTGATGCCATATGCCTCATGCCGTGTCCGTAATACTCAGGTGAGAATTGCTACTTTTCAATACCATAACTCAAGTTCAAAAGCAGTCCTCCCCAAAAGACTTGAGTAGGTGAAAAAATACGAACAGTCTAACTACATGGTGCATAAATGTTCAAATTGGCATAATCAGAGCTTCAATGAAGGAGCTTTCAAGCCCAATCACTTGGCATCAATTACAGAACAATATAGCAAAAATTTCTATATCCTACCAGGACGGACACCTGCCTACTCGAGCGTGCTGAGAAAACACTTTGCAGTCAGCCGCTCGGAGATCGCGGGAAATATAAAGAAAAGACCAAGAATAGAAAGAAAAAAATGAAGCCAATTACAGTGGACATATAAATGATTCCCGCATGGATATGGCAATCAGCTCCAGAAGGACTACTCAAAGGAAGTAGGTTGGAGCACTCCATTAAGTTAGATTGCCTTCATACTTGTGCTCTTTGAGTGTGAACAAAGAAAAATGAATGATAAAGCAGTTCAAACAAGGCACCAAACGAGCTAACAAAAATACGCTATGGCTGCAACATTGTAGGAGATTGTCGCTGTCCGTTCGTTAACTACCGTGATGTCACATTAGTGATGTACTGCTCTTGTTTTCAAGCGCAGCAAATACATTTCATATAAAATATAGGCTTTTGAAGAAAAAAACAAGAATATCTATTTATTAGTCGTGTTGCTTGTTTAATTAAGTGTGAAAGGAGCTTCACAGAATTTATAAGTCAATAATCTGTCGTCCATCTGTGCGATTAAGGCTTTCAGTGATGTGATTTACCTGCTTGTATATTTTAGCTTTTAACTATAGCAGTGAATAAAATGGCATCTTCCTCCAACCTTTCATTGGAATAAAATTATTGAAGGGATACTTCCATAACAATACGTTGCAAAATGCATCATTCATAAAACCTTAGGATACGTAGCCATGTGATTTTTAAATTGAGCACATCAGTTCAACTGGGTTCAGCAAAATGCTATGATTGACAGAATTGGAGGAGAATATGGATCGTCACATATTGCAAAAATCCATACTGTCCTAACATAGGATCAGACGGCAATAATAAATAAGAGTGCTTCAGGCTCACTTATCAGCACGGGGAATATGCTGAAAGATGCGGAGTCTTACTTTTCAAATCATTAGCGGGAAGTGGGGAGCACTGAGAGGAGTGCTAATTATGGTTTTATGTAACTATAATGGTGGAGAGCAAAAAAGCTGAAACCAGATGAATCAGCCACGCTGTGTAAGAGTGCAACCTCAAGTTTACTTGTTGGGCAATATTCTTTCAAAAAAAGTGCAGGTAATGCCAGCAGAGTGGTTCCTGTCCGGTCTTGCTGACTTTTATACTCTGCTCATTCAGAGAATAGGATATGTTGAAGGTTGTATTTGGCCAGGATGGCCCATTTTTCTCATGCAGAAAAAGAATTTTTATCATTAAAATGAAACTTAAATTTGAATTTTTAATTATATCAATTTGTTTTGTAGAAATCAATACATTTTCATCTGTAATATGGATACACCCAACCCTCCTTCCAACCGCCATATCTTTGTGTGACGTCAACAGAATAGGTAGACACAACAAATGTAAGTCACTGAAAGTACATCGCTTATCATTGTTCCAAAACCTCCTCACCAAAATGTATGTGGACAACTCTACTCGTGCCCACTTCGACCTCTGAAAATGTCACAACAATAAGCCTCTTTATGGTTCACTTGTAAGAGAATCAGGAAATCAGCAGCTTACCTTCAGTTTTTCTCATGCTCGATCAGTTTTTCTTTCGGAAGAATAATAAATTAGATGTATATCGAGCTTCTCAAGTCACCCAAGGACACTGAAGCATCAAACAATGAATAAAGGCTCCAGCCGGAGGACCGGAATGTATGTATTGATTTTGGAAAAAAAAATATGAGATTGGCCATTCTTGGGCACACGGCTTTCCACCTGACAGCGCTATTTCACCCCACCACCCCCGAATCACTTTTAGGTGTAGCTAAAATATGGTCGTGGAAAATTAATGTACACTACGTTCCCACAGCTGCTGAGCCACACTTTTATATGATTTGTTTTAATGAAAATGCACATATGCATATACGTATCAAAATTGTCATCTGTGTGCCAGTACAGCATTGTTGTCCAACACACATTTAAGGTACATGCACATGCAAATGTAAAAGTCCTCTGAGAAATAAAAAAGCAGCGTGCTGGCCATGCACTGCTTTATGCAGCAATCGTTGCATGCAGTAGCTGTGGTTGGTATTGTCACACACTTCTTTTTGGTTTGCGCCATTTTGCAGGTTTTGTTCATCATGCCCAGCAAATAAACATTCGAGATGATCAAAATTTTGCGTCTGGTGTAGCTGTATTTGTATGAGCCATTTAGGCACAGCTTTGCGATTTGCGAGTTCATTCGTCTGATTTGCATGTGTATGCTGTCTACTATTCAGCGACCATCGTGTGAGCTGCCGTCATATACAGTACACTGCAAATAACTCTTCACATTTATTAGGCCTTCTTCAGTGATCTGTTGATGGGTGAATAATTCCTGAACACTATCAGTCTATAGTGCACGGTTTGGCGTCTACTCTAATCAAATCCATTGTTCCCAAGAACACGCTGTCTTGTGCAGCCGGGGCTCACAATGCAGCTCAGTGACCTTTTAAAAGATGTAAGTTAAGGTAGTTTGTTCGCATTGAGATTGGAACACGCAGCAAGACCCCGGCAAATTCCTTCCAGCAACCAGTTAAATTTGTGAAGATGTAGCACAACCCTGAAAACGAACCAGCCTGGTAGCCTGGCTCGCGGTGGGTCTTACTGGCATTAATGAAATAAATTTCTGTTGGAAAAGTTGCAACAGAGTAAATGAGGTGTAAAAAGGCCGATGCTACAAGCACTCTCCTGTCGGTAACGTGGAGAAAGGAAAAATATCTTGTCTTAAGGCTTTCAGAGCCAATATACGGCGTCATGAGAACAGCACATGGTGGAAATAAAAAGTCTCCACAACCTTGTTCAAATGTCAGGTTTTTAGGATGTAGAAAATGAGAACAAGGACACCATTATTATCTATAATGTGAACAATAACATTGAAAAACAAATTGGAATGGTTTATAGGTGGGGGGGATTTAAAAAAAAACGTGGTTGCATAAATACGCCGCCCTTAAAGGTGGGTTGAAGCACCTTTTGATTTTATTACACAACTCGTTCAGTCTATCAGCAAGGAATATCTTGACTTGGTGGGGCCATTCCAAAGTTAATCTTCTTCTGGGCAAAGATTATTATTGGGAAGCATTCTTTGGGTTGGCCAATGCGTCAAGCGATAGATCAAAGGTTTCCTGCCAAGATGAAAATGAAAAACAGCCCCAAATTATGAAATTGCCCCATGTTTGTGTGTGCGTGTGTTCTGCAAATTGTATTGGGGCTGCCATCTCTCCGCCTTACCTCTCTCACCCAGTCATGTCACGTCGGCTTCACAGCCTCGCAAGACGGTTCCATGACTTCAGCAATGCCACTGTGGTGTCATATTTTCTCCAATTCACATGGTACTGTGTAGCTAATGCCTTGGAAATGAATGTGTACCCTTCCTGAGTGATTAGTAATCAAATGCCAATTGAAAACTCTCTTTGGGAAGTTCAAGAACACGCTCTAAGAACAAATTAACTTCATTTAGGGTTAATCAGTCACTCTAAAGGATGGCGGCTGTGTACTGACTACTATTTAACATTTTGAGTTTGAATCCGTCAGCATTCTGTACACAGCCACATCCACAGATACGCAGATCAATTGTATATATTTCGCTGTACATTTTAGTGGCCAAACATGTTGCGGACTTGCTCCTGAGTTAGTAATTATCATCTCCGTGGCGGCAAATAAACTACACATCCGACAAGTATCGTTCTCACAAAGCAATGACAAAGAAAGACGGAGAAGCCGTGCTAATTGACAAACGAAAGACTGACACTGACGGCTAATGCGTTTAAAACCAAAATTAAGTGCTTGGGATGATCGAGTCTACTTCTAGCCGGAACCGCCTTAAAGCGGCGGAAATCCAATTTTGAATGACAAGATAGCAAGTGTTTGGACTTAGAGAGATAGTCTACCCACTACACAGAAACGGTAACGGGAATGATTTACTCTACACTGCACATCAGCCAGGAGGAGTGGCTTTTAAGATTAAAAATATGTTAAAAAGAGGTTCAGAAATTGAATGAATGAATAAATAAATAATATACACAGGTATAAAATATTGTTTGTTTTTCACAAAAGAGTCTTGAGTTTTGATTTTGACTTTCGGACAATAAATATTCTCATTAATTATATGACACTATATATTACATTTATTTATTGAAATTAATGTAGCTTTGTTTCGAGACAACAACACACAGTTTGCTGTTACACACGATGTGAATTTCAGAAAACAAAAAGAATTGGGAATTCACAATATTGTCATCGTCTTATTGTAAACCTTTCCTTCAAGTCCCTGGGATTAGCATGCAAAAAAAAGAAAAGAAAAGAAAAAAGAAAAAACCTCTGCAAAATTACAAAGTTGTTCCTCAAATGAAATCCTTGATTCGCAAAATTGCTCCGCAAAGATAAAAATTATTTTGACCCTCGGATAAGTATAATGGATGTTAACAACCATTCGGCTGTCATGTCATTTGGGATTTATTTATTCTGTTCCATTCTATTGAACACAGCTTCAGCGCCAGATATCTTAAGGCTGTTAGAAAATGCACGAGATTTAAACTGCTCAGCTATTGGTTTGCGGAAATAAGATCATTTTGAAGATGCCGAAGAAGCAGTGGTGTGATGTGCGCTGTGGAAGGACTCACCTTAAAGAGACGCAGTATATTGGCCACCATGATTGACACCGAGCTAGCAGATGCGCCGATCACTCCGACCACTCGCTCCGGTTTCGTGATGATGGGTGGCCCTCCGCTGAGACACTTGACATCGGTTGAGTCCTTCTCAATCAGCGCCTGCACAAATGTCAGCGACTGCTCCAGAGCATGAGTGTCACGGGAGCAGGTGTCCAAGATACGAGCGCCCAGAGTAATGTTTGGCAGCAGCTCATTGTCATTATTGATGCGGTCCAGAGCGAACAGCATGGCCTCCAACCTGTGGATCCCCTTCTCCTTCTTGAGCTCACCACAGGCTTTGCCATCATTTCCTCTTGCGTGGACTGGAAAAAGCCCACCCAGAGATATGTCCCCATCAATGCGTATTGAGTTGAGGTGTGTGTGGCCAGGCATTCTGGGTTTGGCCGCCCGAGAGATTAAGACACAACAAGCAAGAAGCGACAGCCAGCAGCACCAGCCAAAGGCGCCTTGCTGGCTCATTTTGAAGGGCTAAATCGGCATCCAATTGTAGTCCTTTTACCATAAAAGAGGTGACCACACATGCAAAAGGCTAGTCACAATTTTTTGAGACCACAGTCATCTTCAAGCGTCTCTTCTCATGCTTTCCAAGTGGGACAAAACTTCACTAATTATCCCGGTTCAGTTTTGTTGGGTCTTACTCTTCTTCACTCTTTCAATGTTTCTGCAGTTAAATGCAGTTGCTACGTGTACAACCTCAACGGTGAAGTAAGAGCTGAGACTGAAACTGCAAAGAGCATTCTTAGACGGCTTGAGCAAAAACAAAGCAGAATAAGTTCGCCTTTCTTCTGTGCTTGTGGAAAATCACTTTGGAGCTTCTGGCCTTCTCACCGTCCTTCAGGTGGGCAGAAATTCACAAGAGGGCCCGGTGGGCTGCACAGAAAGTGCCTGTGGAGTAAGAGGAAAAGCGTCTTAGCCACATTCAGAGATAAAGGGAAATTGAAGGAAATGTGTTTCTTGTAGGGATGCTTCCAAGCACTTCACAATATTTCTTTTGGAATCCACCACAAATTCTTCCTCCTGTCAAACAAACTGTACCAGTCTGACTTGTAAAGCAAGGCCATGCATTTCATCTTTTAATCCACATCTATTTTCAACATTGTCAAATTCTAGATCAGCACTGGAGATGTTTCCTATGGTATTCATTCCTTGACCATTATTTAAAGCCCCGCGATGAATGGTATCTTTTTACTATGAGCAGAACAGATGTGCTGCTGTCTGGGATCCTTCCGCTTAGTGTTCTGCTATTGTGAATCCTCTGTCATACATGCGTCAAAAGGTTAAGAAACATTTGACTAAATTCAGATGATAGAAAATTGTTTTTTTTTTTGTTTTTTTTTAATGATCTTGCGGAGTGCAACAGCGGTTGGCGATGTCTCACATCTAGATTGCTCTCTGCGGGAATCTTGTATTGGGCCTGCATCTTCTACATCTTCTTCCTGTGATTGTGTGGGTTCTATCCAATAACTATGATGCTCCGCAGTACAAAAACATGTTAGTTTCACAAAGGTAAATTTGTGTGAATTTCTGCCTGCCAGTATGTTTACTGTACGAGCATTTTAATCATGCAATTGTCATGGCTGAACTTTAGACATGAATTGAGATTTTATCCAAGTAGATGAATTTTAAAGGAACAAACTGATCAAAATTATTTTTCCAGCATTCACTTAGTGTATTTACAGTGTGCAAATATCAATGGCATCTTCCATGACAATAGGTTGCAGCCAATGAAATATCAAAATCATGAACATACAGTGTAGGCTGCCATATTGGACATTTTGGATCACTTCACATCCGTGTGCATTAATATGCATATGCAACGCTTTTATTAATATCATCCAAAATAGTGCGAGTTTCATTTTAATATTTTTCAGACTATGATTTTTCTATTTATAGCAATATCCACATAGATTTTGGTGACAATAGGTCATGTTTTTTGTTCAATAAGTAACATAGTATTGTCACTCTATGAGGCAACTAAGGATGGGCAACCTTACGGTGTCAATTGAATAAAAAATATCGCCAGCCTCTTTCTAATATTTTCAGAGAATGATTATCATATGCCTACACTTGTGCCCATAATTTTTTATGACAATCAGTATTGGTTTTTGGATGTAGAGTTGTCAAAGAAGTGTAATTATAGGCTTGCAGGCTGGATGCATTATCAGTCATTGCGCTGTAAATGTCTCTTTTCTTTTCTTTCGCCAAGGAAGATCATGAAACCTGACAGTTAGGAGTGCTCTCTAAATTATGGGAATACTTGACGACGCCATAAGGTATTTTATTGCACAATAGACCAGCAAACAAGTCCCAAACCATGTGTGTCAATGTCTAATGATTCGTGTACAGCACACCATACGTCACAGTGATCATGTAAAGCAGTCCAAAATGTCCAATGTGGCAGCGTGCAGGTTATGTCATTACTTTGATACGTGAACATTTTTTCAGGGACTCAGATGCCATTGCTATTTGCACTTGTTTTAGACTAATCGAATGCCGAAAAGCATATTTTGAAGCTGTGTTCCTTTAATCTGCCCTGATAACAGTGTTTTCAGTGAAAAACAAACAGACGTGGTCAGTAATGGTGGCAACATAAGATGGCTGCCCTCTGTTTTCAGCCTTGAACGGGCCAATATTTAGTCCGTAATATATAAGTCAATGGTTGGAGCTGACTCATGTGTTGTACCAAAGAAGAAGGCACCAATTTTTTTCCCGAATTTAACATGCATTTCCTGGCCTAATGGCTTTATGCACTATTTTTCCAGATCTAAAACGATGGTGATAACATATGAAGCATGTCTAGATTAGATTAGATTAGATATCCTTTATTTGTCCCACACTGGGGAAATTTACAGCCTTCAGCAGCAAGATTGTGGGTAGAAAGAAGAGAAAAGAAAACACAGTTCAATTAAGTGCAATATAAATACAAACATGTCTAGGTCGTCAAATTCCAGTCTGTTCCAATTTTTGTGTACATGTTGCAATGAGTCGAACGGCATCAACAGCCAGACTATGAGAAAGACCATTTGGCACGATTTGAACCAGACTTGGTTGCATTTTTGTTACAGCTGCAGCTGTTGTAAAAATGGCACATAAATAACGATTTATTCTATTGTACATTGTATCGCATTCATCTTGAAAATTCACTTTCAGTCAATAATTTGATGTTCTCTAGTGTCATGTGAACACATTACTGCGGGGAAACTCAGTTATTGGTTATCAGTCCAAAATAAGTGAGCTATGATCAAGTCCAAGCCTTCGGTGACCCTTCACCAGATCAAGGACGTGCCAAATGGATAAATAGAATTTTTCTTCATTTATGATGCATCCGCTCTTTGCATCGGTATCGTCACAAGGTCTGGCCTGTTCCATTTGTCACCTCATCAGCTGTGTGGAAACTTGTTGCTCAGTGCTAAACCAATACAGTTGTTGATAAGCACACAGCAGGAGAGTCCTTCAGTCCTCTTCTTCTTGATCTGACCATCTCACCCCCATCAGTATCCGTGAGGCTCTCGCACTCCATTCTGATCCTGTATAAGTAAACACAGTCTCCTACTGTGGCACAGCCTGCAAGACCACAAATTCTTTTGGGATCAGAAACGCCTGCAGCTGTGATCGCTTTTTCACTTATATCAACAGATGCATTTATGACCCGCTTCAAAATAATGTTGCCCTCAATTTTGAGTTCATGCGGAAGCATCTTCATTACGAGGAGGTTCTTAAGAGATTTACATGAATTCGAGACAGCTTTTTGGTCTTGTAGCGTCTGCATCACATCTCTTTCTTTGACATCAACATAGCATAATATAGATGCCCAGTACACTAACACCGTTCCCATCCTGCTAGGAACGAAAAAGAGATATTTATATAATCTGCACAGATCCTCCCTCCAAAACGCAGCATCCATAATGGATGAGGGCTGAGCACTCGCTGGAAAACACCTTGTTCTGAGGAAAAGCCTCCATCGGATGGAGGAGGGAAGGGTGAGCGCGTGGCACTGGTCTCTTTGGAAACGAGTTTAAAGTAAGCTTTTACCATATCAATGGAATATCTGTGGAGGGGCACCTGCCTTTTAGCCACAATTAACTAGCTATCTTTGCAAAGACCCTTGTATGAGAAGGTAAGATAAAAGATTCCCCAACGGGCTCTTACTTTAGGGAGATAGAGGTTTAAAATACATTATTTCTCATTTAAAAGGTTATTTCTCTGTCTGGGTCACATGGGGGAGGGGGGCGGGATGTCACATATCACACCCGGAAAAAAAGAGTAGAAAACAGATGAGGAACATCTTATTCAAATTTGCGCAATTAAAGCAGGCGAAAAAATGTTTTGAATGCGAAATAATCCTTTTGCAGTCTCAAGAAATGTGTCTGGACATCCCAGTGATGGAATCTTAGCTGTCGCTGTCCTCACTCGGTGAAACTCAGCATGCAAACTGGCTGTTTGAACAGCTGTTTGGTCACAGGTCCCAGGTGGAGGTGGGGTGCTTTTGGGGGGCGGGGGGTGAATGTGCAGATAAGCATCAGCTGTCTGCAGAGGCAGGCGCAGTAACTTCAGCATACAACCACCGTCTCCTGCCACAAGCAGCTTGATAATACATGTTATGTTTTGTATAATGTGTCCGCTTGTTTGCCTTGATGGTTATTTTTTCAAGAGCCTTTGGGGTCAGAAGAACTTCATATTTTGGGAAGGGGGGGGCAAAAAAACAATGTAGGAAGGCCTTCAAAAGTGAGGAAAAGTAGAAATCTCTGCTCTGCCAAATGATTAAAGTTTGATGCGAGTGATTCTACATTTTGAATGTGTCTTTGGCAAGTCGCCAAGCAGCAGGCAAGAATAACTGTGCAAGCCTCCACATGCCAGACAGCTGCGAGGAAACCCTGCAGAACAATTAGCTACCCTGGCGCTCTTGTTTTGTTTTGATTTCCAAGTCAAAAGTGATTCCCTCATTGTGTCATGCTGCAGAAAAAAAATGTAGTTGAAGCACTTCCAGCCTGATCATGAACATGGGAAACGTTCACTCAACATGATGATTACATTTAAAGACAGAACCACATGAAAATCCGCTAACAGTCAGGGGGCGGAGCCATACGGAGACAACACTACAGTGAGGGGTGGCCGTGCGCGTGTCCGTCAATCTTTATCATACCTTCCACAGGCGGGGTTTCATGAAATAAAACACAAACATATCCAGAACAATGGTCATCACCACTCTTGCAGGAACAAATCGAAATAAAAAGTAACATTTTGCTGCTTAGTAATGCCATTTTCTTTGCAGTGGCTTTGCTTTTGTTTTCTATCTCAGATTCTCATGCACAGTTTTGCTAGCTAACAGACAATGATCAATTACCACAGATGGTCGACGCCATTTTGCATACTACGACCAGTGGCTCATTCATAAAAATCATATCTAAAAAGCACAGTTACACAAAAGTCTCTTAATTCTTGGCAATTCTAAATGTTGTTTTTTTAGTTAGGTTTGTTCCTGCATGTATAAGTCTAAGTGTGTGTGTGCAAGATTGGTTTATGTATGCGTTGTATTTCATGAAATCATGACTGAATGGCATTATCAACAATGACTTCTCAACCCGTTGTTTGCTTGCTATGGTGTGAAAATAATGATTTTGATAAACGTTGATTGTAAGAATGTGAGTGTTCCTGACTTCAAAGAGATTATTTTACAGTTTGCAATCAGATAAATTGTACATTTATTCTTGAACTGTACAGTTGATTTAAAAAAACTGTAAGGGTTTTAAGAATATTGCAGAGTGGCAAAAAGATCACAGACATAAAAAAAATCCCTGAGGTTTGGGAGTGGCCAGGGTGGTGGTGGTCACAGCATGACAAGGGGGAGCCTTAATTGGCCACCTCCGGCCACCCTGTAGCTCTGC